GTGCGCGCTCGTCAACGCTACATTAAAGTATATTGGGCCCTTCATGAAGCGCTCGTGGCTGTTTTGCTAGCTCCACATATACCAAATTCGGTGTTACGTGACATCAATGGATGACGAAATATGTGACTGGTGCGAACATTGTAATCCTGACAGACGTGTCATGTAAGAACATGACAGCATACCACGCTCATTGCGTGCTCGCGGGCGTTTCGCTAGCTTCACGTATACTAAGTTTGGTATCACGTGACTTCAATAGATCATCATGATAATCATGACACGGAAGTCATATACGGCATCATTTACCTCTACTTCGTGACGTTGTGTCTATTTTAAAGTGACATGTCAACCTTTCTGATTCGGGCTTTGCATATCATCTATTCCCACTGTATGTGGGATCTGCTTTTTTTTTCGTGTTGAGAGCCCAGCCCGTAGAAGCTTCCGCCAGCTGTGGAGGCACAAGCTGCGCACTAATCGTTGCCGTGAGCATTCGCTGCCGGATTTCTACGCACATGAGTGGCCTGTGAGCGTCATTGCATGCCGCCGCTTACTGTTCACTTGCGTGCGGGACCCACTAATGCGGAGTGAGAAACTTAGCCACGTTTGACAAGCCAGATACACTTCTTAATTCATGAACTGACCGCGTTTCTATTAATATATATTGTTTAGGAGACGTTGGTGCTTTTGTATTTGTCGCGGCGAGTACTGTCGGTGTAGTCGTAGCGATCGCCACAAGCAGAAATTCTATTCGCACAGTGACGCTAAATATGGCACATTACAAAGCCCAGGCAATAGCGCATAATAACGCCTAAGATGGAGGCTCAAAGAGTCTAAAATTTTGAAAAATGACGATACGCACGAAGCCCAGTCACACAGAAACACTAAAGATGTAGACAAAGTGAAGTTACAGGAAGAGGAACTAAGTTTATGGTAAAGCGAGACATGACGCGCCACGTTCATGTGAAAGTATCTACATCCAATTTGCTTCCATTGTGTATACTTTTTGCTTCTATGAATACTTTATATAGAATTAAGCCGTTTTTAGAAATTCTGTTAGTGCCAGTACAGAACTCGCTTGTAAGGCATCTGTAGCAGTAGGAGCTATTTCATTGAACCGAAAAGCCTGCAGTCTACTGCTATTGAATCACGTGATGATTGCGTCGTACTGCTCGCAGTAGAGTTCACCATTTGTCTTCGACTGTTGGTCGTATCAGGCGCATACTTATAAAACCTTTCAATTGCCTGTCCTTGTCGGAGGCCTTGTCGATGGAAGGACGCACCTCAACATAAAACATAACGACTGTTTATTTGCAGCACTGGGGCGAGCATGCCGACCCTGCTCTCGAAAGGTTAGAGGATCGATCATAAAACCGAGCTTGGCAACTTGGGTTTTATAGCCACCAGTGGTGACGCACGTGTCCGGTGAAACTACGGTGGCGCAGTCCCTTATTGGAAGCGTGTTGCAGCAAGTGTTAGTGTCACGCCTGTCTAACCAGTGACGCATAACTTACGTAAGCGCTAAAGGCACGAACGTAAGACGAGTGAAGGACACAGGCTCTTCTTACGCACGTGCCTTTAGCGCTTACATAAGTTATGTATCAGTACGAACTAGCCCGAACCCAGTACCTTCTGACCAGTGACAAGACCGAGGCTGCGCAGGTTTGTGCACAGTGGTCTCCACATTGGCATACACGGGGCCGTAAAGACGTTCTTAACTTCCTGCCCGTGACTTTATATGCAAGAAAGCAATTCGTGTACGACAACGTCACCGATGCCGAGATTTCTCTCCCACCGGCTCTTTGGCGCTATCGAGATAGTTAAGCGACGTACAGGTTTGACATTGCCAAAGTTTGTGAGTGCCAGTGATAGGACGGTCCGTTGTCCTCACCGGATCATCTAATGGGACAATACGCATATATTGCGCAAAAGTGTCATTAGGCTGTTTACCTGCACCGCAAAAAACAGAGGGGATCCACCCGACGTTCGCCGCAATTATGTGCGACGTAGATCGTCACAATACCTGTGCGAAAGTACTCACATACGAACGTACATAGAAATTACCAAAGCAGACTTACAACATGGCAATGTTAGGATAAGCAGCTGCTACGAGCTGGTACGACCATTCCATCCTGTTTCACAGAGAGGCAGACCTATGGAATGGGTTTTGAACTTAGTAATGTAAGTTCATGTACAAGCCACAAAAACGCGGTGGCTGCAGCGCGATGAAATAACCAAGGATGGGGTCATGTGGAGTCCCCCCCCCCCCTTTTTTTTATTCTTTTGCTCGTTATTTCGCCGAGAAAAGTTAATCATACTTTTGTGGCTTGTACGCAAGGTACATCTGTAGAATGGGTTTTGAAATCGGTGATATCACTTCTTCATATTGAGAGAGACAAGTCTTTATGGAGTTTAACGAGAATGTAGCGCGTCATCGTTCAATAACATACCATATTGCGGACAATAATACCTGTAAATGTTCACACTGGCAAAAGGTTGTTTAAAAGTAAGGGCCTAGCAAACAAATTTAGTTAGTGCGTCATATTTTTATTTAACTACTCTTGAATGGGATACTTAAAAAAATTGCTAACATATTTGAGAGATTCTCCATAGGCATTATCATCACCGCCACAATTTTTTTCGTTTCCACTGAAAGAAGACGCCCTTTCTTAACGATCTCCTATTTGCCTTTGCTTGCAATAGCTGAATCCATTAGGGTGCGAATAACGAAAAAAAAAACACCGTCTTTTTATATCAGATTTTGAACGGGTGCTACTTTGTGCATAATTTTCACATTGGTGCTTTTCTTAAAATGAACTTTTTTTTCTGGCTGAAAACCAGTTTCTCTGAAAGCAAGTTGTCAGTGAACATGCACCCTGTGTGAAGCCTCTCGTGTGTTTTCCATGCGTGCGGTACATTTTTCTAAACAACAACGTGCCGTAAAAAAAGGCAGAATGTTTGTCTGGAGTCGCGACTATGTACAGATGATTGTCGGGTAATTTTTAAGGCAATATGAAGACTATGTGCGCCCCTTTTAAGCACCTGCTTTTTGAAGTGAGTAAGTTAGGACACTTGAAGCTCGTATTTAGCTTAACTACACCTTATGTCTGTCGCGCCTGACAATAAGTTGAGATGCTGAGGACAGGAAATGGCGTCAGCAAGAGCAAATTTTGCGACAACCATTACAGTTATTTTGTAAGCTTTAATAATAATGCTTAAGACGTACTGAGGGGCCGAAAGCTGAACGAGTGAGCTATTCATCATTGAGCCTCTCATCTTTCTCGGAGTCCTTCAAGGCGAACCGCGTGCAGGGTGACAACGGGTGTGCTCTAATGGACATGCATAATATGTGTCATGCAATTAGATCGAAATGCGTCTGTAAACTGTGCTGTGCAAGAGCTGAAATTATAGGAAATGCACCGCAGGATGTCTGCTGTCCTTGTTCTTGATTTTTTTTTTTTGGGGGGGGGGGGGGCTTCAGAGTCTTAAAGAGTGTGACATTGAATGCTATGTCTTTGTTTAATGATGGCAATACCACATGAGCTGAAATTCTGAAATAACTAGAATTGACGCCAGGCCCAAGTATAGTCATCGTGATAGAAAATGTACACGAATATCGATGACACCTTGTGAATGGAGCGTCACGACAACTCACAAGAGAAGTGAGGTAAGCTAGACTTGAGGATCAGAGGAGAAAAAATGATTTCGCCAGTGATTACCAAGTACGTATAGCGACTAAATAAAACAGTTAAATGGTGTTTGAGGCTTAATCTCAAAGGTGGTTCAGTAAAACACGTAGCTCCGCGAGTTGGTTCATAATTCATGGTAAACTGGTTTGTGCAAATATAGACAAGGACCCAGAAAGAGAATAATAATAAAATTCAGTTGAAAGTTTGCGCTCGTCTCTGTCCCATATTTCCTGTGTCGTCTTCAATTTCGCGCACCAGTTTACCTTCAGTCTCAAATGTTTGTGCCAGAGAACATAAATTGTCGGTAATCAATAAACAAGTCCTCTTTTGCGTTCACACTTCCGACATTGCATCTGTTCTCCACATGTTTGAGTAATCAGAGTTTTGAGCACATGCTATGAAAGCAGAGCCAGGAAACTGATGGAAGCATTTTATACCTCGAAAACAGGTAACGCCTGTTTTATCAAATCTTTTGTTTCTTTATTACATGTTAAAATTTGGTTCTCGTGTTACCTGTCACAAGCTACAGAGAGGGACAATGCAATGTATTTGTTATTTGTTGACTACGACTATAAAAATAAGGTTAGTTGTAAGTTTGCGCTCGTCCATGTCCACCGTGCCCTTGTGTTCTAAGTGCGCAGCGATAGTTGCCTACCAAGCAACGTAAAAAATTATCACGTCATAATTGGTGATGAGTGATGTTACGATGACGTCACAGTGATTTTTAATCACTGTGACATCATTCTAACGTCACCCCCTGTCAAAATATCTGACGTCATCACATGACATCACCGTTTTTGGTGAAAGGTGGGAGAGGTTTCATGATCCCGAAGAGGTATCGTGAAACCACGCAAGTTGCAGAAAGCTTTAATGGGGAAAAGAGAAGGAAGGAGGAATCAATGCGATCGACTGTGAAGAAAAAAAATCACAGCATATCCACGGAGTGAATGATGAATTGTCTTTGGCAAACGTTCAAGAAGGCATCGCGTAAGCAACCGTTTTCTTTAGCACCTACATCCAAGTCATGACATTTAAGATAGGTATTAAACAGAAAAAGAACTCCACTTGGGAGCCTTCGCTATCAGACACGAACCCGAAGAATCAACGCAGCCAGATAGAACGTACACGAGGGACGGCATTGGACCAGGCATATGGAGGCCGCCCATCTAAGGCGCACACTGCGATTTTATTCTCTCTCTTGAAACAGGAAGAGAATAAAGGTTTGTTTCGCTCTCACTCTATAAACTAAGGCGGGGTCAAATGACACAAATTATTGTTCTTTCGTATTTTAACCATATTTACTCTTGCCTCACACAGATCTACAATATCATGCTTACCCCTGGGCTGTTTCTATCTACGGTGGAGGACACCTGGAAGCGTACTTGGCGCACAAAGTCGGAAGAAGATAGTCTTTAGGTGCTGCAGACCACCATCTCCGCTTCTATTGCTTTCTTAATGCTCATAAAACCTATTCTGCGCACGACGTCCACTTTGTTCAATAAACATCCTGTTCATGCACCATCAACACTGATAAAAGATAAGCTGCTCAAATTTACAGAGAGTTTATCTCCTGATCGATGAAAAATGTCCACCTAAATGAACCACGAAACCTTATTAGAAGAAGTGCATCAGTATGTTGCACACAGCCACGTTTACTACTCAAGGAGGTATTTATTGCTTATAGTTTACATAGCCAAATGCATCACGTATCCATAAATTGAAAGTTGTGCTCTTTTTAAGCTGAAACGCGGCAGGTCAATAGGCCGTGTATTAGTAGTACTGTTTTCATTTACATTGGTAATAATGATATATGCTATGTGCGCACTGCTTCACGAACAGCTTTATATAATTTATGCAAATGAAACTGTTGCGTTACTTTCAGGAACTACTGACTACATCATCGTAAAAATATATAGCAAACAAGGCATTAAAAAACGGTTAAAAACTTGTGTTAGTTGACCCTGAGATCAAAGTTGGTTTTCTTTCAGCTAAAACCCGAGCCTTGTTCACTATAAATGGCCCGAAAATCGTCTTATCTAATACACTCTATCTGCCGGTTTTCACGAACCTATGCTTTGCGGCCAGCGTGCTAAACACAGAAGAAAATTAACTACGTCTTGCTGTTGTTACAAGCCATAAGATGGCACAAGTCAAACTGTCGTTTATTTTCTTTTATCATGTGGTTCCCAGCACTAATGTACACATCCCTATTTTTAGGGCAGAATTAAGTAACATATGCTATATGACTAGGACTGCATAATCGGTCATGAATGATGGATGACGAAAAGCAACTAATTCGAGTGATTTAGAAGTACATGTTGCCGGCCTAGTTGGTTTGTCATACTGAGGAACGCTCTTTCTCTGTTTGTCTTTTTTTTGTGGGGTGGGGGTGTTTAGGCGCCTAGAAGTTTCCCTCAGTAATTCGAGTGAATAGAATCGCTGTCATACTTTTCGCCAAAGAAGGGGAATGATCCCCAATCATTCGGAGTGTCTGTTTTTTTTCATATATAATACTATGTGAAATAAGAATGTTTTGCCTACGGCCTCATTTGTTAAATAATTTATTACCTAACAAATGTACAGTGTACAAAAAAAGTAGCTTGCTTGGCGCGCCTGACTACAGAAGATGTTAATTATAGACCACCCCGCTCGTATGCTTAAGAGCACCTTCTCATGTCGATAGATAGACGGGTATACGGGCAATAACAGATCGACACCAAAAAAAAAAAAACCGTTACGTCGTATTCAAACTTCTTTATACCATTGTCTAAAAAAAGAACGAAGGTGATTTCATGAGTAGCCTCTGCTTGCATCTTCGTCTTTTTTTTTCTGTGGATAATAAGAATTCTTCCACAGGAGCTCTTTTTTGGGGGGGGAGGGGGGGAGTTCATGCTACGTCATAACACTTCCTGCTGTGCACGGACTGCCTTGTGCCCAGTACACTAAAGTTCCTCTGTTGCTTGCATTGAGCACATCTTACGCAACAATGACCCAGGACCGCAAAAAGAAGCATCTGTGAAACTGAACGGCAACGCATACACTGAGAAAGATCTGAATGGCGTCAAAGCGACTCCGCAACGTCTTCGTGCTTTCAAAAGGTATACGTTTTCCCAAAGCTGTAGCGCGCCAGCAGACTTCGCAGGTGCCGCTGTATGTCGGTAATCAGATGAAGACGGCAGTCAGTACTGGAAGTATTACAATAACCGCGCATTGCCCGAAACACCGCAGACCACGAATGATTGCGCGTCATTTCTCGATACCGCGAAAGCTGCGCCCCAATTTTAATACCTTTCGTCTTATATACACAACTATAGTATTTTATTAGTCAATGATGGAAGGCGCAGCAGTGCTCAGGAATAACCACCTTGGCTTTGCCTTTTTTTTTCAGTGCCCTTTTCTGTGTGTAACTGATCGATTCCGCTCGCAACGCAACCAGCTGCTACAGCGTTCAGCTGCTCTTTATTTATTTATTTATTTATTTATTAATTTATTTACCTTTAGGGTCAATAGATATTACAGAGGGGATTGGTTATATTTACAAAAGAAATGTTCCAGTTATGCGACAATTTGAACAACATGTAAAGATTACTGGTATAAATACCTGTATAAATACCTCAACAATATTATACATTGGCATTTGTGAAGGACAACAAAGATAAGAAATAATAGTAACGCAATGAAGCAGCGAAGCAAAATACGACAATACAAAATGTAACATGACACAGCATTTACACCATATCCCTTTCAGCAACGGTGTGTGCAAATGGAGACGCCTACTTCAATGGCACGTCACGCACTCCGTGTTTCATCAAATAGCTTGAAACTTAGTGTTCACATCAGTACAGGCCACCTGAGTGGACAACTGTTGATAATTAACATCCTTAGACTGCATATTGCCACAGAGAATTATTTTTCTGAGTGCACTACCATGTTTAACCATTTTTTTGACGTGACACATTCCAAGACCATTGTGAAAACTATTTTTTTTCTACGCTCGTTACTAATAAAACACAAAAACAAGCTTTTCATGCGTTTTGGTCCTAATAGCGGATTGTGTTTATGCGGGTACTGAAGCTGACTGTTTGCAGAGTAATTAGATAATTTGTTACACATTCAATTGCTTTAAATACCAAAACCCACAGGGAACAACGCTTTTGTTCATTTTCTTACTTGCAATGTAATACTGAGTGCCTTGGAATTACGCCACGTGACTTTGACGCGTTTCTGACAGCGCATCATAATTCGTGTTTCAAAAGAATGTAGAGTAGATGTTGAAAACAAAAAGAAAAGTATAATGTCATTGGTAAAGCACGCTTGAATAAATCCGAGTCACTAATTTCCACCGTTAGTGCAGGAAGGCAATTCCATTCTTTTGATGCACGAGGTACAAATAAATTCAAGAAGGCGTGAGTTGTACACGATTGAATTCCGACTTTATGTATGTGCTCTAGTCTATTGGAAACGTAGTGCAAAAAACTGATTAATTAATTATGCAAGTATGGATGATGGTAAAGCTTATGAAAAAGAACTAGATGCTGTGTTTTACGTCGAGATGTGAGAGTCGGAAAGTTAAGATTTTTTCTCATTTCTGTTATGCTGGCTGTCATCTGTACTGAGAGCAAATAAAAAAAATGATGGGTTAATAATACCGGTTTCGCATGGGCACTCTTATTGGCGATCGGTGCCAAACCGGATTAAGCACGAACCGGTTTAGGCACTGCTACATGGCCACCTTCAAGCACGATTACGTATGATCAGAATTAAGACTATCGAAATCCGCGCATCGTGGTATCGCTTACAGATCGCGCGATTTCACTGATGTGTGCGCTCTGTGGCCGAGCTTGTTGAAAGCACACAAATATAAAAATTCAAGCAGAGCTCAATACAAAGACAATAAAAAGGCCAGCTTTTCACAAAATAGAGATTTTAAACTGTTTAGATTGATGCAATATCTTAAATTTCGCACATTTTGAAATTCGTATGGACGTCAAGTAGCTATTGGAGAAGCAGACAATAAGCAGCTGTTAGACGACCGTTGTCTTGCCGTGCTGCGGTGCTCTATTGGCTAGGCTGCTCCCCCCGGCTGCGCTGGCTGCGTTTTCGATGAAGGCGTAAATGTTCGAGGCCAATCTGGTTAGATTTGCGTGCACGTTAAAGAACCCGGATGGTCGAAATTTCTGGAACCATCTACTACAGTGCCTCCCGTAATAATATGATGGTTTCGGGACGTTAGACCCCACATGTCAATCAATCAACGACCGTTGTCTTCCGCGCTTTGCCTAACTGTCACACCGTCGGAGCAATCGGAGCACCTCGAAACAGATCGATTGTAAGCGTTGGCAACTTTTCGGGTTGATAGGCCTGGCTAATTGTCTGGTTAACACTACGTCGGGTTAATTGACCGCTGCCAAAAGTGGCTGGAGGGCTTGAGGCGCGTACAACGCTATTGACGCTTGTCTGCAACTGGATGGCTACGAGGGGTGCCATAAGAAATAAAGAAATGGAGATTAAGAATCTCACACAGCAATACAGGTAAGTGCTAGGAAAACTCTATCGGATGATGAAATAATGAAGCTGCTTTCATATGAACGCAGTTTTTGATGCTCGAGTGTTTTTGCACGAATAACGTTGCTGACAAACTCCTCTATGAAAGCGTTGTATGGGGATTTTTTTCAGTGACACGTACAGGCGGGTCCACTGTTAAAGGGAACACTTGCGTATGCAGAAGATTTGTGTTTCACTCTCTTGCAAAAGCACATTGGCTTAGATTTATACGAAACTTGCAGTGACTGCTTGTTCTGCCTCTTTTTGACAGACTAGTGCCAGACATAAGCATTGTTTCTTTATACGCTTGTTACTAGAGGTCCGGCAGTTTGAACGGTGCCCATTGTAGTGTTCGTTTTAACAGTGGATGGCACTGTACATGTTCACTTCTATTTCGAGTGTTAGAGTACCTGCAGTACGTACGCCTCCTTAATTTAGTTAAATCGAAATCTCAGTGCGATTTTGCGTGGCACTGATTTGGCTAGGCAGCCGCAAATTCCTGGCACCTGGCGCAAGAAGGAGACGGCAGGAAGCGCGACTGCCTGCGTCGCCAAGTGTCGACAATGACTGACGTCCTGAGCAATAGTGTAACAAGCGTACAACTTTCCGTAAAGCGGGCGCTTATAAACAGGATAAATATAAGAAAAAAACGAGTTTCAAAAGCAGCTTGTAAGTCGTGTTACATGAATACACCACAAGAACCGACCTGGTACGCTTTATCTGACCGAAGCTCGAACGGGATTACCTTCGACCGTGTAGCAGCGGCCGAAAAGTTGATTGCGATCAAGGAAACTAATACGAATCACCCTGATGGCCATTAAAAGTGCCTGTGTGACACCGGTTTAAGATGAACTTCTACACTGCCAGATAAGGCCCATAAAAAAACACACACACAGGAACCAGAGAAAACGAATGTCAATAAACCAAGTGTAAACCCCGCATATAGTTTGAATGCAAAGCTCTCTGACCTTGCAGCTATACAC